TCTTGCAGACTTGCTCGGACTTGCTTCCTTCCAGTAACCCATGCTCAGTGGGAGCTGGACTTGGGCCAGAGGGAAGGTGGCCTGGAATCCCAGCAATCAAGCCAGGAAAACCCAACAGATTCCCGTCCCCAAACTGCATTCCTCACACATCACTAGTCCAGGCAGGTACACAACTGTGCAAACGTCCTGCATGGATTCCTATAAGTTCCCCCTCCCCTCCCCGGCACTTTTTCTGAATGTCTGTGAGTTATCTAGATAAATGCATGGGTGCTGGAAACCATGGAGCCGCATTCCATGTATATATAAGATGCACATATGTCTTAGGTGCAGCAAGGGTGTGGACCATTGAATTGCACTCTCATGTGGTTGGTTTTTCCCTGGACTATGGATTCAACATAAAGCACCTTGGTTTAATGTGCAGGAGGTTACCTAGCCAAAATTTCATAGTACCTAGAAAATTTAGGGTTCCTTCACATGATCAAAGGCATTTTTGTCATCTTATGACAAAACTGCAAGTGACGCTGGCTTCAAACACTAATTGGGTACATACAGAATTCTGCCTACATTGTCCGTTTTCTGCCTATTTTTAGTTCCTGCTGCATTAGTTCCCATTAAAGCATATATTAAGCAGTCTACTTTACACAATTTATTTGTATTGACTTGAGTATCATATTTCTGATATTAAATACATACAGTATTTCAGTGTAAGTGTCTAACTTATTTCCTTCATTTTTGTTCTTGTAATCCCTATGTAGTTTGGTAGTTCCCCCAATTGTTGTTGTATGTATTTGTGGGTAATTAATTTTGCCAAGAAATGCAGCAGGGGTTAGTCATTAGGTGACATTTAAATACCGTTTTAAGTACTCAATGTTTTCTCCTTTGGGGGCTGGGGGCGGATGTTTATACTGAAAAGAAGGGAAAAAAACTTGACTGAATTATGGTGTCAGGCCTGTGAGTTTTAATGGCGGGGAAGAATCTCTTTTCACCTGGGAATGACAAGAGCAGGATTGGTATTCTGTATTTCAGTGACTTGTGTTTGTTTTTGAAGACCTGCAGAAGATGGGGAAGGGTTAGAGGTTAAAATAATACTAAACTGAGTCTTCTCCATCTATCAGTGTGTCCTTCCTCTTCCTGGGTGTTAGTATAGGTGACTTGATCGGAATTAGGATAAATAAGTTTCTCTGGCAAGCATTTTTAAAAATTCCCTCAGGGGAGTTCTGCTACATTTTCTGATATCTGAATGCTGTAGGCATACCCTGAGAGAGAAATATAAGTAGGAATGTGTTGAAGATTGAAGAGGGAAGGAATCAAAGTGTTGGTAGCAATTCGCACTGAGGGACCATCGATAAACTATGTCATACTTTTAAAAGTCCTTTTGATCTCTCTCCCTCTCCATCGCATGTTTTGCCACATTGTCATCGAAAACCCATTGCTCCTCGGTCAGGAGTTTGCTAACTTGATTCTCCAGGGGCATGAGGTATTTTGTGGATCATTCCAAAGGAAGGAAGGCAGAGACCTTTTTACTGAACCAGTTTAAGGTTCAAAACACCTGAAGTTGCGGCTTTTAGATTACGCAGAGCTCTTCTTCAAGCATAAATTCTGGAAGAGTAGTCTTTGGCCAGCTTGCTTCCAGTTACCCTGATTCTGTCTTGGCTTTCTCAAAGCCTCCGGGATGAGCAAAGCTGCCTTTCTTAAAAGGTTGCCAACTGGAATAGGTCTGGCATGTGGCTCCATAGCTCCGCTTTCTGTTGCTGTCCTCCCACGTTTAAGGTCTGGATGATCTCCTTGCTGCAATTGTTCTCAAACATTAAGTGTTAATCTGTGTTTATTGCCATGCGGCAAAGATCAGGCCTCTATAGGCATTTGAATAGTCATTAAATCTTTGGATGGTTTTGCAGTTTCTCGAGTTGGGTGTAGCATAGAACAGAGCATGATGAGTAATTAAGCAAACAACAACAACTGAAAACCCTGCCCTTTTGACTGTGTTTTTGAAAACTGTTCCTTCCACCATTTGGATGGCGTCACTTTCTCCTGTGCAAACATTACAGCATCCAAAGGGAATGAGAAATACCCATGACCACAGGACCAAATGTTAAGTCTGCAAGTCTCAATGCAGAAGCAGGTTTAGGGCCCAGCGACTCCCTGCTGTTTTGACAGACAGCTCTGCCTGAACAAAGGCTTAGTCTCTGCCAGCCCCTGTGACCACCCATTCCTCCCTCCGAGGCCAGTCAGCCTTCTGTCAGGTTGCAAAACTAAAGTCTTTCCAATACACTAACCAGAGAGGCCCTTGTACTTAGATTTTCTTAGTCAGTGACTGGCAACAGGGAAAGCTGTCTTGCTTAATTGTAACTCTGGAACGTTTGCAACCGTTTGAATGGACAGTGCCTATTGGAATCGCTGGAAAAACCCACAGGAGTCATGACTTTGTAATCTGCTCTTTTGCCAAAGAGCCAGTGGGAAGAAATGTGAACATCAATGCATTTGCTAATCTGTCATCAATACTTACCTTTCCCGTCTCTGCTGGCCTTTGATGTTGCAGTTTCCTCTGTGGTACTCAGTGGCTCTCCAAGTGTGTAGACAGCATCAGGAGTGTCGCATGTTCCTTTCGGAAACCTCCTAGGAGGTGCTCTTATTGGCCAGGAGGGGGAAATTCAACCAACTTAACATGAGAGGCTATGGGTAGCATAGTTCAGTGGGAGTGAGAAATTAGATTTCTAGATGTTTTGGACTTAAGCTCACAGCATTCCTGCTTCTGGGGAGGAAAGCTATGGCAAATCTAGACAGCACACTAAAAAGCAGAGACATCACCCTGCCAACAAAAGTGCGTATAG